TACCTCATTCAACCTAGGAATACCAGTAAAGGAGAAAGTTTTGTTCACAACCTGGGATAAAGAAGACTTGGTCAGAAGACAATAAGTCCGGACACTTTCGTGCAACACCTTCAACAGTGCTTAAGGAAATGAGTGCCACACGACACTAGTACATTCGACAGGTTCAGGGAAGAGCCATTAGTGAAGCTAAACAATCCCTCGAAACAGGATGCGACAATCTCCTGCATTTGACTTCACATAAAACTGGACCATAGTTCTACCGGGAGAAGTTCACTCGTATCACTGGCAAAATGCCCAAGTCTCCATATTTACATGTGTTGTCACGACTTGAAAAGGAACCTAAGTTCAGCTGTCATAAGCGATAACGCTGGCCATGCATGCTACGCTCTCACAAAAGTGCACAAGTGGCTCAAGGGTGTTGCTCCCTTTTATGCACATGTCACATACGTCAGTGACAGTGCCCCGAGTCAATCAAGAACAGGTACCAGCTCCACGAACTTGCGACCAAATACACCTCAGTGCAGTTGCTATTTTTGGCAGTGAGTCACGGCAAGAATGCTTGCGATGGAATTGGGGGCGTCGTCAAGCATCATGCAACCTTATGCAACCTTCATAACTCTGCCACATCAGTTATTAAGTGTGCGAAAGACATGGTGGATGTCCTCCACACAAAGCTACAGAATGTGACACTGATTCACCTTCTAATTGCCGACTTGAAAGTCTTCAGGGAAATGAAAACAAAGAAGTGGCAACCCATTCGTCCTGTGCATGGCATTCAGTCATGGCACATGTGGCAGTGGACACGCGTCAGCCAAAAGGGCCATGAATTGGTTGTTGTAAGAACAGTCGAAAATCAAAAGAAGAAAGTGCTGGAATAGACGCTGCTTTGCAACCTAATATATCAGCAATAGGTGCACATGAAGCAGGAATACTCCACAGCAGTGCTTCTCCTGCTCCGAATGATTGTACATACTGAAAAGCATAAATTGCAGAAGCAGGTAAGTATTGTAATATTGTTGAGCGAGTTTCATGTCTCGTGCACAGAAGCAAGAAGCATTGTTCGAAAGAACGGCAGTGATATCTGCGAAACAAAGAAAACATGACAGTGAAGGTGGCCACCCATACAGCTCTTATTATTAAGGGTAAAAGGGGTCACGAACTCTTGTGGGTGGTACCCTCATTACCGCCGCTATCCACGATGGTCACCCTGGGTACCTTTAATACCTAGCACAAGGTGCCACCTATGCCACACGCAATGAAAATCACAAGGTTGATTCACTGGGAGCAAGAGACATACAACTGCTTTAGAGACCTTTGTGACTGTCTGACTTGCGTGACTATGACTTGTGACTCTGACGCCCGGTGTACGCAGGGGTAAATAAACAGTTCTGAGAGCACATCTTGACTACATTTCTGGAAATACACTCAAACCTCATTATAACAAAGCTGAAGGAAAGCCACAATTATTTGGTTATATCGATTATAACAGTTTGTGGCAATGTATGCTCAGATGGGCGCACACCTATAAGCATGCAAAAAAGGAAACCGCTTCGCAGCCTGATGAACCGCTACGCGACCACGCGTGCGACGAAAAATAAACACAGTTGAATTTCATCAATTCTAACACACCTAATTCGAACTTACGCTGTGGTCCCGTCAAAACTATGTGTATTCCAATGGGTGAAAACGCCCTGTTATTCGAACGCACAAGCACTTGCGACGATTAATTCGAACATACCGTGCTCCGAAAATGCTCTCAGCACCATGCCCAATCCTGCGGGGGCACCTCTCAACGCTGCGCTCGAAGAAGGAAAAGAAGAAAAGGAAAAAAAAGACTGTGGCAGATTGTTTGCTCTCTCTCAAATGCTGATCTGCGACGTGCCTGTGCCACGCTTATCCCTTTTCTGTCTCTGCACCTAGAAACCTTTCTCCTTTCAAAGTGGCGTGCAGAGAGGGAGGAAAAAAAAAAAGAAAGCTGTCGCGGAGAGTCCTCCTTTCTTGGTGCAGAGGGTAGCAGCGAAGACGCAGTCGTTGCCACCGTCTTGAGTGTTGGCGCTGGGCTTAGCCTCGCACTACTGTGCTTTGCAAACTACGTGCGAAATTGATTGATTTGCTGCAAGTCAAACGTGTGCAGATGCGCAATTACTTCAATTAATGATGGATGTCCTCTGATTTGTGAATAAATGGAAGTCTTTTGAAGCTTCCCCATCGTGTGTTCTTATAAGTGAGAGGGAAATCGGTTTGCACGGCGGCGCCGCTTCTCGGTAATGTGACCCGCTGAGCGCTACCTCAATCATCTCCGCTGGCTCGTGAAGAGGGCTCTCTCGGCCGCGCGTGGCGTGGCTGTAGGGTTGCCGCGGGAGTTCTGTAAGAGTCGCGCCGAATGAACGTCAAACGTTGCAGAAAACGATATACTTAACAGACTGCGGTCGTTTTTTTTTTTTTGACAGACTATTTGAGACTAATTTAGTTGGTTATATCCATTTACTGGTCAATTTTACTTCGTTACAATGAGGTTTAAAATGCATGGTTATCAATTGAGCTTTCGAGGGAAATTTCATTTACATTGTTAAATCCATTATTTTATTATATCCCATTACTTAATGTATTGCAATTAATCTTTACGCCAGGACTGAAACTACTACGTGTGCACACACGCATGTGTACGAATTTCCACATTAACCATTTCCGACGCCACCTGTGAAAAACTACCTGTAAATGTGTCAGATCACTACGTTACTTTAAGGCAATTAGTATTGTATTGTAACAAGAATAATGATATAGTTATTGTATTTACATGTATTATAGAGACTCATTCTAATTAAATTGTAATTAAATATCTTTTTACATCCTGAATAGAAGTCATTAATGCTTATTTTTTGCATAAACAGAATAAAAGCTCAGGCTAAGAGTACAGTGCAACATTCATTTTCGGTTATGTACATTATCAGCAAAAAAACATTCTACTTTTTACATTGCTTACAGGTAGTGGCACGTCATTCGACTTGTCAAACGTGGTAGTGTCTTCAAAAAAGTGATCATATGTATCAGTGCAATGCAGAATGAAGTTAAATAAGGATGAATTTATTATGCAGGTGGTTCAATTCATCCAAAGTACGACATATTTTACTCTTTCATAGCCTCTAGTTGATGCAAATAGTAAAAAAGAGTGGTGTACACAATTCTGTATATAGGGTCTCAAAGGGTTTACAGGCAATTCTTTCATTTTCTCTGTCAAGCTGTTGTCCAGTGAGTACAACAGAAAATTCACTACATAAAAATATTGATAATGACAACTATTGCTCTCTGCTCGCTCAATGTTACGGTTACTCAGTTTACGTCATTTTTACAACTTTTCATACTTTGTAACTTTGTTCTCACAAAAATAATGGCATCATGTTTTTACAGATTAAGTTAGAGCATGTGCTTGCTTTTAATTCTGAAGAGCATGAATAAAATCGAAGATGGCTGTTTTTTTTTAATTGTATTCAATATACTGCATCTCCAGAGACAAGTCCTCAATTAAATATTTCTGCTTAATGTTCGACGTCACTTTCAACAATTTCGTGCTGCAAGCTTGTTGACCTAACATGTGGCAACGCTCCCGAAATTTTCGGGAAGTCTGACATTTATACCCGTGGAAGAAACAAATGTAAAATTTGTGCAGTATTGGACTGTGTGCCGATTTTATGAATTTTTCACTTCAAATAACAATGCCAAAACTACGAAGTAATAACAGTTTATCAAAGAAAACTATTCTTAGTATGTGGCCTAACCTTTTCAGACTTACAGCTACAACACTTTTTTGGGGGGATCTCATCGAAATTCCATTTTGGCGTAATTCGAAAGAAGAGGTTGCAGCTCAGTGGACACTTCTGATTTTTTTTAAGAAGGGAATTTTTTTTTTTTTGACGACACCATAAGTGTTTTTTTTATCCTGAGAACTCGGATTCTTTTTTTTGCGAAATTAAAGGACATGCACCAACGTTCTTGTCTGAACACAGCCTGTAGAGTCTGTCACTTTTTGCTGCTTTTTAAGGAGCTAATTCAAGCATTGTAGTTATTGTATGAAACAATGTGCTGGTTTCAGTTATCCTTAACTTATACACATGAACCATTTTAAATCTTTTTCGTTACTCTGGAGTTCAAGCAGTACTGTTGTGCTATGTACATTATGGTAAAAGCAAATACTGGAACCTAAAAATTCCATTTCAACACTCTAGCGGAAAGACTAATGGAAATGGTAGTGTTCCACTCCTGGGTTCTGCCCTCTCCCTACTCTCCTTCTTTGATAATGAGTACTCTTGTGCAAACATGGGCTTAAAAAGCATTGTAAACTCAGAATTGTGATATTACGTTTGATTCCTAAAATGTGGTAAAAAAATGCACAGCCATCAATAGGACTTGGCTCTTTCAAGCTACTTGTCGAAGTGCATGTATGCACACTGATAAATGTGAACTCCATTGATGTTGTTTAGTAGAAACTGGTGTACATCAGTTGTTAACATGCATATGCTGACATGCAAGCCTGTGTCGTAGTACCTTTCCCGCCACAGTGGTCTAGGGGCTAAGGTACTTGGCTGCTGACTCGCAGGTCGCGAGATTGAATTTCTGGCTGCTGCTCGCTGCATTTTCGATGTAGGCGAAAATGCTGTAGGCTTTTGGATGCATGTTAAGGAACCCCAGGTGGTCAAAATTTCCGGAGCCCTCCACTACAGTGTTCTTCATAATTATATGGTGGTTTTGGGACGTTAAACCCTACATATCAATCAGTGTGTCTGAGTACCTTTTCGGTTTCGTTACTATATTTTTTTTGCTTCTGTCATCTCCTTGAAGCAGATTTCTGAACATTTTGACTTAGTCACATTGGCAGCAGTCATGATTACTTTAGAAACACTCTTTGCCCTTAAAAGTATGTAAGAGTTATTTGAAATGTTTTAACAGTGGCAGTGTGAAGATGTTATGGTTTAACCTTTTGTTTCTCTTTTTTCTCTTTTCAGTGTCATCTCTGCTGGATGCGGTGGAAGGTACCGAGCTTTACATTGAACACTGTAAACGCACAAAAGTGTTTTGGTGTTACCATCTGAATAATGGTTACATTGAACACTGTAACCGCAACAAGTGTTTTGGTGTTACCGTCCCAGTCACGGAGGAACATTCCATCAGTGGCTATTGGTGTAGCACAGGGCTTCAAGGAGCTGGAAGATGGTCAGCCACAGTGCCTTTAATGTCTTGAAATGTTGTTTATAGTGTGTTTCTTCAAGCCCTTCTAAATGCTACATATTTGCCTCTTTTTTTCTCCCTTGCTTAACTGCATGGCTGAGCTATGAGTCACTTTCCTTAGTGCACATAATTGTATTGCATGTGAAGCCAGACATAGCTAACGCAAACTGATATTCTAGTACTGAAGTGTCTGAAAATGTGTTTTTGATAATTTTCTGCTCGTGCTGTAAAGCCTCAAGTGGCTTTGCAGAGCTATGTGAAGAACTTCAAGTTTTTATGTGAACTCCTTGCAAAAACAAACTTTACTTTGTTATCTTCCGAAAGGCACTTCACGCTGTAATGTTACATGCCTTAATGCTACCCTAGTAAACCAAGGAAAAATATGCTAGGTAACTGTAAAAATGCAAGGTGTGGGAGCAGGCCAGTTGGTATTCCATGTTTTTTACAGCTGAAGCACAAAAAGGTATACAATGTACTAAGGGGACGACGAGGACATGCGCTAACTTCCAACTAAATTTTTATTGCAAAGCACCAAGAATATATACCTGTCACATGACATCACAATCATATCAGTCAATTCACAAAGATAAAATAAAGTGAAACAGCAGCGAATTTTCTATGTAAAAACCACGTGTTCGTAAATTCAAGTTGTCTAGTTCTTTTTTTGTTAGTGCAATGAATGGAAATGCTGACGCAGCTTCGATTTGCTATTGACTCATTGTGCAGAATGCAAATTCATGCTGGTATTTGATAAAACAACTGTGTCGGCTACACACTCTAATGATAATGTAAGGCTCATCATTGAGGCTACTGTGATAACAAATCGAAGCTGCGTCAGCAAGCCATCCATAGCACTAACAAAAAAAGAACTACCGTATTTACTCGCATAATGAGCTTAATAAATGCACCCCCTGCATTCATCCGCTGCAGACCTGCTAATCGATGCCTGGGACCTCCTTGCCCGTTGGATCTCTTCTGTTTTTTATTAATATGCCCACTCCCCTCGGCCACCTCGGCTCGCTTCCTTGCCCCCTTCGCCTGCTGCCGCGTGCCTTATAGTTTTTATTTCTATCTGTGCACAACACGTACCCAGTCTTCTTTAAATATCTGTGCACCATAGGGGGGTTCACAAACGGTGCTAGTGTAGAGACATCGCAGCTGATAAGCACACAGCGAGCGAAGGTCACGAAACTTCCCGCACCAACCGACGGTCACTTACTGCGAATACGAAACTTTAAGGCCCAACTTAGGCTGTGTTCTAATACTCACCGTAGACGGCTAAATAGACAGCTAAATGGACGGCGGCCATCTTAAGTCTCATTCCAATTCTCACGTAGTCGGCAAAATAGACAGCTTCGAGAAGACCGCATCGTAGACAAATACAATGCAGGCTACTTTGCTGTCTAAACAAAATGGCGGCTCAGCGAAACGCACAGATAGATCAAATCTTGCCGGCATGGTCATCTGCACATTAACAGACGCTTTCCCAGACGCTCAATGTGAGTAATGTTTATTTGTTTTTGATTTCAACATGAAACAAACCGGAAAGTACATTTGTTACGTTTGTTTATTTTAGCTTTTTCTTCTCGACGCAAGGTGGCGCATTGTCGCGTAAAAGCCGTCCGGAAGTGTTCCAATTCTTGGACAGCATCGGCTCGGTGCTGTCTTCTAAGCAGTCTGCGTAGACTGACTGTGCTGTCTAAGAATTGGAACACAGCCCGCATGCACGCAATTTTGGAGCGAGGACAACAGAATTTGATGTCGCTATGGCTGTCGCAAAGGGCCATTCGTCGCCATCGCGTAGCAGGATTCTCGAAAACCAAAAAGAAATCGCTTGTCGCCCAGAAAAGATTGTGACTGTTTCCGCAACATGGTCCCCGATTCTCGCTTCGATTGCAAGCGAGGTGGCCGCCGTATTCTGTCGTTAATCTTGTTATCGGTGTTTTTTTTTTTATGCTTCGGTGGTAGCTTGCTACAACTTGTGAGGATGCCACAAAGTTCGCAAAGTGCGTCGTGGTATCGTAGCGAACGCTTGTGGCCGCCACTCAAGACCACAGTAGATACTACTGTTGCGGTTAAACGATTGCAAGAAAAGATAACTGTGAAACGTTTTTATGGCGCGCACAGACGAGGTGGCATCAGCTTGCAGAAGACAGCACCTTCAATCACCGAAGATGAGTGAAGTGCAACAAGGAAGCTGAGCGACTTAACTTTTTTTTTGCATTGCCGCATTTTTTCGCTCACACTCAAAAAGTTTTCATAAAATTTGCCCCGCATAATAAATGCACCCCCAACTTCATTTTGATTTTTTAAGAAAAAAAGTGTTCATTAAGGGAGTAAATATGGTAAATTACTTGAATTTACCAGTAGGTGGTTTTTCTATGTAAAATTCGCTGCTGCTAAGTTTTATTTTGTCTCTGTGCATTGATAGATATGATTGCGGTGTCATGCGACAGGTGTATATTCTTGGTGCTTTGCAATAAAAATTTAGTTTGAAGTTAGTGCTTGTCTTTATTGTCCCCTTGGTCTGTTGTATACCTTTTTGCACTTCAGCTGTAAAAATCTGCAAAAAAGTTTACTAGGTTTAGATTGTGTACACACTCTATTGTATAATTACATGTGTTATATTTATTTCCTCTACTGATACTGATTGTTAATCAAGTTATACGTTGATATTGAATGCTGTGGAGCCATTCTAAGTTAGTAGAACATTTTAAATAATAATACAGTAGAATCTAACAGCAACTTTTAGGACTTTTTTCATGAAGTTTTATTTTGGGAAAAGCAGCCTTGCTTAAATTGCTTTGTTCTGTCTAACTTTTTCCATGCAGTTTTTCAGTCTGAAAAGTGTTGTTTGTAAAGTTTCACTTACATTCATCCAGAATGAAAACTTGTTTAGTAAAGGTTTACTATCAGTTCACGTTATAAATATATAATTGCTTGAATGCTTATTAACTACAAGAATCGTGCTGTAAAATGCATAGGTGGCCTGCATGGCTAAGTGGGGAAAAGCGAAACAAAAGCTCCGTGTCCCAGATGAGTACAGACTGTTTTAGAACATTGGTACTACCAACGCTTCCATTATCATGACACTGGCTGGTTTTCCAAGTAGTGCTTTTTGGTATACAGTAGACTCCTTTTAAATGAAACCTGAAAGGACCAGGAAAATGTATTTTTTTTAAGAGGAGTTTAATTTATTGAGAGATAAACCGGGGTATAATATTCAAGTGCGAAACCAAACATATGAAGGGCAGTTATTCTATTTAAGCAGCAATTTCATTTAAGAGAGTTTAGTTTAATAGGAATCTACTGTATCTATACATATACTACTTCTTTCAAATTCAAAACTCGCATCAGAGGTCGTATTTTGTAATAAATCTTTATTCTTGTTTTTCCTCAATCTTTTCCCCTTTCATAATTTGCTTGCATGCTGCTACAGTGGCCACCAAGCATTGAATTACAATAACAGAATGAAGGGAAACACAACCAATGCTTGTTATGTTCACAGTTTTCTTGGTGTTTTATTGCTCGAGTTGAAGTTTCCCAATTTTCACTTTTGAAAACGTACATTTGTTTCCAGAAGAGTTTGGAACAAGACAGCATCACTTCTGCTCTATAATGAAACCTGAGCACGTGAATAAGTAGCATGATGATGGGATAATGATGAAGTCAAGTTGGTAATTTGCCTGGACAAGCTGCATGCAAGGAATATGTGTATAATATGTTAGCATGAGTGTGGCTTTTGTATGGGAGAGAGTTAGCGGTAATTGAGGATATTTGTACATCTACTATGATGATAACAAAAGCTACGTTTGTCTTGTTTGCAGCTACACATTTGCTTCTACTTGAGCCATACTATGGGAATTTCGCAATTCGGTGAAGTTTTTTTTTTTTTTTGCAACCACAAAGAGTTACTGATACATGTTACATTAGCCTGTCATCAACAATGCTATTTTTGTACTCTTTCTATATCGAATTGTTCTGTAAAGTTGACTATACTAAAACTGCTTCAGCTGTTAGGAGAGCTGTGCAGCTAATGATTTTTCATGTAGTGTGACATGATTATGTGCACGAAGGTGCATTGCTGTGATTTCGCAAAGATGCTTTGCGATTTGCAAACAGTAGACTGTACACGAAGTTTATACTGTATGTATTGGTAGCCTCAGTTTGTAGTGTCCATTTGTTGGTCCTGATCATTATTTTCAACGTTAGAAGTATGCAAGTTAAAGCACATTATTTTTGTTGCAACTTCTGTTGTGCATTTTAGTTTCTGTTCATTGCTTTTTTTGTAAATGTGTGAAGGTTTAATAAATGTATAATGCGAGAGTTACTCCTGGGCCCATTTTAAGTTTTGTAGGCCAGTTATACAGAATATGGTGACTGGTTTATTGAGTGAAGTTGGGCGTAGTCACTTTTTAAAGCGTCTGACACTTAATTCATCATCATCATCATCCTGGCTACACCCACTGCAGGGCAAAGGCCTCTCCCATGATCCGCCAATCTACCCAATCTTGTGCTTTCTGCTGCCACGTTATACCTGTGCACTTTTTAATCTTATCGGCCCACCTAACTTTCTATCTCCCCTTCGTGCATTTGCCTTCTCTGGGAATCCAGTCAGTTACCCTTAATTACCAGTGGTTATCCTGCCTACATGTTGAGTGCCCAGTCCATGTCCGCCAACCTACCCAATCTTGTGCTTTCTGCTGTCACGCTATACCTGTGAACTTTTTAATCTCATCGGCCCACCTAACTTTCTGTCTCCCCTTTGTGTATTTGCCTTCTCTGGGAATCCAGTCAGTTACCCTTAATTACCAGTGGTTATCCTGCCTACGTGTTGAGTGCCCAGTCCATGTCCATTTCTTCTTCTTGATTTCAACTATGATATCCTTAATTGCAGTCTGTTCCCTGACCCACTCTGCTCTCTTCTTGTCTCTTAAAGCTACACTTTATATTTTCCTTTGCATTGCTTGCTGCATCATCCTCAATTTAAGCTGAACCGTCCTTGTAAGCCTCCAGGTTTCTGCTCTGTAGATAAGTACCGGCAAAATGCAGCTGTTATACACCTTCTTCTTGAGGGTTAGTGGCTAATACTAGGTATTCATGATTTGAGAATGCTTGCCGAATGTGATCCACCCCATCCTTATTCCTCTAGTTATTTTTACTTTCATGATTCGGCTCCACTGTTACTACCTGTCCTAGTAACTGCGGTAAATATTTAATTATGTTTTCACTATTTCTGGTAATTCAGACACACTGATTCCACTCCTTTGCCAACTGTGCCAAAGTGCACCAAATCAGATCTTTTGCACCATCCTGATAATATTCACAGAAATTGCGCCAAACTGCTCCGAAGTATCGGGTTTGCCTTGTCTCTCACCGGCAATACCCATGCCGGCACGTCAAAACAT